ACGGCGCGATCGGGGGAGCAGCACGTGCATTTGTACAAGGCGGCATGTTCTTGGGAGCAACAAAAATTAATGTTAGAAAATTGGTTCTGGTCACTAGCTGCTCCCTGACCGTGCGAAAAATTCCCTGTCAGTCAGAATCGGTATTCTGCGGTAAAGCATAGAACTAAACACTGCTGCTTTCTATAAATGATTCACGGAATATCCGCTAGGGGCGGGGGTGGTCGGCACAGTAAGTGTTTATACAGTGCGGCAAAACACGTAGCACTGGCCCTTCCCTGGATTGTAAAGTCTCATGAACAATCCTAATACACAAATAAAACAATAATATATTAAAATTACACTTACATAATTAGTAATAAAGTCACTATTTACAATTAACAAAAATTACTATTCACAAATATACATTACAATCACTAAATAAATCATAAACAAAATACAATTAAAATTCTAATTAACAAAACAAAATCTGTATTCGTTAATTACTGCTTCTAAACTGTTTGTGGCTTTCTTTTCGTAGTTCATGGTAGAAATATGGCAAAACCTCTGGTCCTTTAATGTTATTTGCAGTCTTGTCACTAGGTAAGTTCTCGTTAGGTAGGTGGTCGAGGAAATCCACTAGTGGTTTCACCCTTGGTGATACTCTGGAAGTAATTTCAACAGGAACCACAAGCTCTTCAGCAGATTGACTTGCTTCGCGTGAAATCTTAGTTGAAATTTTGGTTTGTTTTGAATTTCGCAACAAGCTTCACGAGGGCTATCTGCGCTAGCTGCCCCTAATTTCTCAGTAATAAACTAGGGGGAAGGCAGCTAGTCATCACCACCAACTGCCAACTCTTTTACCAATGAATAGTGGGATTGACCGTCACATTATGATGCCCTAACCACCAGGACATGTCAGGCCGTCCACTGAAGCTAAGCAATTGGTTGTTCTTCTGCCGATGTGCTTGTAAAGATACTTACAATGGATGGCCTTTGATTTGGATTCTTCGGATTCTGCTATGTTACACTCTAGGTTTGCTGTTTCTTTACTCAATGCATCCACCTTTGTTGTCACTAGAAGACCAACCTCAGGTAGTTTAATTGTTGAATAGTGTACAAGGGGTTTCTTTCTCGGTCATAAGCTGTAAAGCTATTTGAAACTGATGCAATCTCACATCCAGGTCTCTTTATGAAGTCAATTCCCACTAAGAACTCTTCCTCGATGTCAGTTATCCCATACATCATGACATGTATAGAAGTTTCCCATGGCGACAGTGAATTCCAACTTTCTTCTTGTTACGTTCACTTACTATATTTGCATCAATCCATCTTTTATCTTCATCTCTGGAGGTATTTTCCCACCATTCATTACTAGATCAGGTCGAACCAATTGTAACTATAGAACCAGTGTCGACCAACATACTGCAAAGCTTCCCACCAATAAATCCACTGACTCGTGAACTAATTTATTTAAACAATACATTCCTTATTTCTAATGAGACAATTGGACTATCTTCATCCTTAAAATATCTTCTCTTTCGTTTGATGTCAATGATTTATTCATCACAATCTTAGGACGTAATATCATGCCTTCCACACCTGTACAAGTTTCCTTCTCCTGTCGTCCTTCTGAGGCAGTTTCTTGAATTATGTCCTTTTAAGTTTCAGTTGAAAAATCTTCTGTTCTGTGATTTACTTCATCCTAAGTAAAGAGTTCTCTAACTAAAAGCTTTTGTCTAGAGTTCCTGGCAATATCACAATTTAAGTTTCAGTTTAAAAACCTTCTGTCGTTTGATTTACTTTTTCAATCCTGAGATAACAACTGTCTAATTAACGTGTGAGCTCTTCCAGACCTTCGTCAGAGAATTAATGTTTTTGTGTGTGGTCCAAGGCTACGTAATGACGTAAGCCCAAACCACTGGTGGAGAGAGGTTTCTCTTCCTTTTGGAGTAATAACGTCACTGGTGACAATCGGCTTAGCCCTAGTCGATGACATCAGCAATTGCAAATCGAAGACGTAAATGTGAGAAGTATTACAAAAGAACCTTACGAGTGTACAAATTGCTCTGGTGTTTTGAGATTACGTGTTAGGCTTAAAACAAACATTTTCTATCATGTAGTAGAAAAGGAAATTCCGCCACCGGGCAAAACTTCGTGCTTTGATAAAAGAGAATCAACAACCGAAGCAAAGTCTGGAACAAATAGAAAATATCTTAATTTGATGTGGGATTTTAACACCAGCTCATATACAGAAAATTCTTTACATAAATAAATAGGTTGTTTAGGGAATAAAAGATCTAGTTTGTTGCTTTAAGCCTCCGAGCAGTTTCGAAGAAAGCCTTCAGGATGGTTCGTTTCAGAGGTTACGCACGGACTTCTTTAAGTACAAAAAAAAAATTTAAAAAAAGGGCTACAAATATTACTTGAGCACCAGGATTCATTACACAATCATTTCTTTTTATGAGAAGGAAAATACTTCACTCTCTGATTTTGATGACAAGTTGATTCACATGTTGTATATGATCCAAGTAAAGACAAGATGTATGGACCTAATGAACAACACCTCGATTATGGATGACGAGAAGTCTGACTATGAAGTGGAAGCAATCAGTCTACTTCAAGTTTGATAATACCTTGGGTTAAACCACTTGTTCGATGAGATTAAGAAGAGACTTTTCATCTTATAGTTATTGTATGTGATTTAGCTGGAAAAATTGAGGATATTCTAAATGAGCTTTAAGTCACTAGAAAAACCCAGCTTCGCTAATTCATCGAACCAAAAGTTGGTCTTTATTTTCCCTGACGTTCCTCGTGCGATTAAGCTGCTAAGAAATTACTTTTTTTGGGGAATGATTCTATCTTGTGGCATAGTTATATAATGAAACTGATTATTTATATTTAAAAATAGCACCGAAGAGAACTTAAATTACAACACGAAATATCTTGGAAGCTTTTTTGTTGTTGCTAACCACAAAGCTACACAGTGGGCTATCTGTGCTGTGCCCACCACGGGTATCGAAACCCGTTTTTTTTTTTAGCGTTATAAGCCTTCAGACTTTCCGCTGAGCCAATGGTAGGCATCTTGCTGTTATGGGTAGGGACAGAACGGTCACTAATCTCTTCCCTATAGTACGTATGAAAATTGTTTTCGAGCTGGTTGAAAATTCTTAATGTAATGAATACCAGAGGGAAAAATTATAATAAGAAACCTGCCCAAAGTGCATATGGTATTCACCAAGCAATGAAATATTAAATGACGCACATCAAATGGTGGAAAATGTGCATATTGTTGAAAGAAATGCAAGACTTCCTTTTTAGAATGGTATTTTAATATTAGTTAACAATTTGAAAAATATGTTTTAGTATCTGAAAAAAAAGGGGGGTAATACACTGTCATGAACCAAGACTGTGTTGAAAGTACTTTTTTTTTTCCGGAAATTTACGAACCTGGGCAACATCACGACTATTTTCGATGACGAGGAACCCACTTTGAGACTAATAATGGCTGGAGACGGCTTGAATGGGTAATGGAGAAAAACTTTAATATAAGTTTAACATAACAGCAAATGTACAACGTTTCGACAAGGTTTTGTCATCATCAGGTACAAGTAATTTACACTGACACGTTTCCCGAAGTTCCCAAAAACTGTATTTTAAATAAAATTTTTAAAGAATTCTCAAACAAGACTATTAATATAGTCAACCAATCCCGTAAACTGAAAAGTAACTTTGCTTTAGAAACTTGTTGAATAAGGTCAATGCTTGATTAGTTGTTATGGCTCTCAGTTAGAGGGTTGTTTAATTTATTAAATTTGGTCCTTTTAAATGAAAAACAAAATTAATAACTTGTTGTTTAATATTTCAACCATTCAATTTAGACAATTTCAAACTGAGCCTGATATGCTTCCTATGGTACCTTTCCATCACAGTCCATCTGTTTGTTGTATTAGCTCGTTAAATTCTATGAATTGATCAGGTAATGCTATGGTTCTGGTAGTCCAAAGGTCTTTTAATCATAGGTAGCATAGCAGTAGTAATAACAGATAGACTTTCTGTGTTCATGTTTAAAAGTGTTTGATGATGGAATTCATAGATGGATGAAGAGGTGGCTGGTTTAATCCTTGTATTTGAATATTTACTTTCTAGATGTTTTGTTCTGTAACTGTTCTATTCTACATCGATGATTTTATAATATTTCTACACTCCATAGACATATTTTCTGTTGCCCTTTCTTACTCTGTTGATGACTTTTGCACTTGTACATCTCCGATAATTTTGGATCTTGTCTTCAATTCACTCTTAATTGTTCTTTCTTATTATACCTCTCTTGTGCCCCTTTTATCTTCTTCATATTCTCTAACTTTCTTCCAGATTTGTTTCTTTCTTAATGTTGTATTTGTGATTAAAGATGGAGACAAGTATTTTAGCAAGGTAATGTTCTAATGATGTTATGTTTCAATTCTGTACTAAATAGCTCAAATGTAGCAGTAGAAATAGAAGCTGAAGCTCTATATCTTTAATATTAATACTCTATAAACAAGTTTCTTCGAGCCTCACTTCTGAAGCAAATCTATTGCAAAATACGTTTTCTTATGCAAGATTGATGATAAATAAAAACAAATTAAAATAATTTGATAATGTGTAATATATATATATATATTTCTCATACAGAAATCATGTTGGATGTTAATTAAATTAACTGAAATGAATGTTCCATGCACCAAATAATCAACCAAATCTGAAACTGCCTCTAACAGACTTTTAAAGAAGATTCACACCAAGTAAAGCCTAAGAATTCTTGAGGATAATGATTGTTTTTCTTAAGTTGGCTTTATATGAACATTATTTCAACAGTGTGGGATCATTAAAGTCTACAGACAGAATTCTACTCATTAAAAATGGTTTTCTTTCCATTAACTCTTTACCACTTAAGGCCCCATAATCCTGTTTAAGGTAACAACATCTTTACTTTTTTTTCACTTATTTTACATGCTTTAAAAAAAGAGTTTAAGCTGAAGATATACACGTTTTAAAACAGAACTGTTTATTGATTCAGTCTACTTTTCTCTGCACATTTTCTACATTCTTTACAAAGAAGACATATCCAACATATCTACACCCATCGGCTACAGTAACATAAACTGTCTGGATATTCATGGCTTTCATCATCAGGTGTTTTAAAATTTATGAACCAAAATCTACGTATTTCAAACCAAATGAATCTTGTGTAAATAAATTTCAAGTTGAAAAATTGCAGAAAGACTAACGTAGAATAAATTTACATATCCTACTCCCATTCTCTTTACTGCTGCTTCTCCAGCAGCTTCAATTTCAAACTCTCTGGCATTTCAGGTGGAGGTGGGCGAGGAAGTCGGAGCCAAACCTTGACACCGTCATAAATAAACCACTGAAGGGCCGTCAGAGTACCAATCATGATAATACGGGGGAGTAATCCCTTCCAGAGGCCTGTGAACATAAATAATATAATAGCACCATATAATGATAATGTCAATTCGATAAATGCATTATTCAGACTCAATAACTTGAAACAAATTTTTAAGCCTAATATATAGTATTTTCATACACACCATTAAACATTTTACACAAAAAAAACTTCCTAAAATAAACTAAATCTACTGAAAGACAGACTTCCTAATGATAAAATAAATGCAGTAACTGCAAAAAATTTAATCCCGTAGGTCAGTATTCAATACCAGCAAAATAAGTCTCACATTAGAAGTAAATAGAACATTTAGTGTATATATATATATATATATATATATATATATATATATACACACACACACACACACACACACACACAC